GCTGTATTATAAGAAAATGGAAGTGTTTGGGAACGACAGCAACTCAGCCACGAAGTGGTAGGCCACGTAAACTGACGGAGCGGGGTCAGCGGATGCTGACGCGCATAGTGCGAAGAGGTCGCCAACTTTCTGCAGAGTCAATCACTACAGACCTCCAAACTTCATGTGGCCTTCAGATTAGCTCAAGAACAGTGCGCAGAGAGCTTCATGGAATGGGTTTCCATGGTCGAGCAGCTGCATCCAAGCCATACATCACCAAGTGCAATGCAAAGCGTCGGATGCGGTGGTGTAAAGCACGCCGCCACTGGACTCTAGAGCAGTGGAGACGCGTTCTCTGGAGTGACGAATCGCGCTTCTCCATCTGGCAATCTGATGGACGGGTCTGGGTTTGGCGGTTGCCAGGAGAACGGTACTTGTCTGACTGCATTGTGCCAAGTGTAAAGTTTGGTGGAGGGGGGATTATGGTGTGGGGTTGTTTTTCAGGAGCTGGGCTTGGCCCCTTAGTTCCAGTGAAAGGAACTCTGAATGCTTCAGCATACCAAGACATTTTGGACAATTCCATGCTCCCAACTTTGTGGGAACAGTTTGGAGCTGGCCCCTTCCTCTTCCAACATGACTGTGCACCAGTGCACAAAGCAAGGTCCATAAAGACATGGATGACAGAGTCTGGTGTGGATGAACTTGACTGGCCTGCACAGAGTCCTGACCTCAACCCGATAGAACACCTTTGGGATGAATTAGAGCGGAGACTGAGAGCCAGGCCTTCTCGTCCAACATCAGTGTGCAACCTCACAAATGCGCTTCTGGAAGAATGGTCAAAAATTCCCATAAACACACTCCTAAACCTTGTGGACAGCCTTCCCAGAAGAGTTGAAGCTGTTCTAGCTGCAAAGGGTGGACCGACGTCATATTGAACCCTATGGATTAGGAACGGGATGTCACTTAAGCTCATATGTGAGTCAAGGCAGGTGAGCAAATACTTTTGGCAATATAGTGTACCTCTTAAATTCTTGTCCATTCGCTAATAGGCTTCTGGCGTTCCATTGAAGGATAAGGAAACCTATTTATGAACTTATTCACTTCCCTGAGAGGTTCCTTCATTAGTTACCAACATTTCATATATTTTATCTACAGTCATATCATTGATCCCCAAATAATTTTTAGCTGCCTCCACAATAGTCCTTAGCCGAGACCTTTTTTTTGTCTGCTGCATTGCTACATTCACTACCATACCTATGAAAGCTACAAATTTATACTTATCTACCAATAAAGTATCGTCCTTTACTTCACACTTATGTGAACACTTTGTGGCACTCATGTTGTTCATTTGCTGAATTTCAGGGAAGTCCTTTGCTGAGAATGTGTTTTGATTCATCGCTTGAGAGTCTGCAGTCACTCCCAATGTGACTTGCTTTGCTGCTTCAGCATATGTTACTTTGTTCTGTATTTTATATCTCTGGATTTCTTTTGCTTTTTTTTGTACTTCACAACCCTGATATGCTGCACTATGTTCTCCCCCACAATTACAGCATTTAGTTTTAGTACCTTCTGGGCATTGTCCATATTCATGTTCTCCTGCACACCTGGCACATCTTGGTTTAGATTTACACTGATCAGCTACATGGCCCATTCTCTGACACTTAAAGCAACGTAATGGTTTAGGTATGAATTCCCTCACATTAAAGCACATGCATCCAATCATTACTTTTTGTGGCATATCTCCCTCAAATTGCAACAATACAGATAGACTATCCACAAGTTTCCCCTGATATCTTGTTAGAAGACGCTTCACTTCTGAGACTTTATTCCCTTTAATTTCTTTCTTAATTTCTTCAGTACTTATATCCACTGGAACTCCACTAATTACACCTCTACTCCTACGATTTTCCCCAGGAATATGACTTTTCACTCGCACTTCATTCAGTGTTTTCATTTTCAAAATCTTTTGCTGTTGTATTTTATTGACTGCTTCAATCAACATCTTGCCTTTACTCAAAAATCTAGCTTGTTTAATGTGACCAATTTCATCATGAATTGCCTTAGTAAGCTTTACCGGATGTAACTTGCTACTAGATTTTTCTCCAAACTCGATCACCACTTTCCATTGCTCTGTCGTATTGGCTTTTTTTACTTTTTTCAATTCATTCTGTATCTCTGCTTCACTGTGACTTGATTCAGAAGTCTTCTTCCTAGTTCTCTTTGAAGTAACCTCTTGCCACTCTTCTCGTTCGTCATCCGATTCACTTGCCATACTCTCTATATTTCCAGAAAGTTCTTCTCCTGTCCTTAAAGACGCCATAGTCTCCCGATCCCTCGTCCTCAGTCTCGAGCGTGACCTGTCGGCAGCCATCACTCACCGCCCTCCTATGGTGCATTCAGGAGCATTGGAACATTTTAAACTTACAAGAATGAGGCATAAAACAGAACTGTATTTTTACTGAACTGTATTGTATTTTTTTTTGTTTGTTTATGCACATCTGCTAGCTTTTTATTCTAAAAAATCTATAATATTACAGCAGCAATTTATCAAAGTTTTTCAAAATCCTGTTTAAAAGCTCCAAATGGGGCTTCAGATCATATGAAGCAACAATTGCACTGTCATTGTTTTACAGGGCAGTATTTGCATTTGCTGATCCTTGTACTTAATTGCTGATGAATATACAGGAATACAGATGTACAAGTGTCAACTCCTCTGAGATAGCAGGGGATGGAATTTTTGGCAAGGACCTGCCAAAAAATGCATCCCCCTTGTTTTTAACTTAAAAATTGTCCCACACACATGAAATTCACACTGGTAGCTCAGCACACATGTGGAAGCAGGTAGAATTTGTCACATCAGCTACAAGTGTATATTTCTGGAAAAAAGCAGGGGATGCAATATTTGGCAAAGACCTGCCAAAAAATGCATCCCCCTTGTTTTTAACCTAAGGACCTGCCAAAAAATGCATCCCCCTTGTTTTTAACTTAAAAATTGTCCCACACACATGAAATTCACACTGGTAGCTCAGCACACATGTGGAAGCAGGAAGAAATTGAAACATCAGCTACAAATCTATATTTCTGGAAAAAAGCAGGGGATGCAATTTTTGGCAAGGACCTGCCAAAAAATGCATCCCCCTTGTTTTTAACCTAAGGACCTGCCAAAAAATGCATCCCCTGCTTTTTTCCAGAAATATAGATTTGTAGCTGATGTTTCAATTTCTACCTGCTTCCACGTGTGTGCTGAGCTACCAGTGTGAGTTTCATGTGTGTGGGACAATCTTTGGGTTAAAAACAAGGGGGATGCATTTTTTGGCAGGTCCTTGCCAAAAAATGCATCCCCTGCTTTTTTCCAGAAATATAGATTTGTAGCTGATGTTTCAATTTCTACCTGCTTCCACATGTGTGCTGAGCTACCAGTGTGAATTTCATGTGTGTGGGACAATCTTTAAGTTAAAAACAAGGGGGATGCATTTTTTGGCAGGTCCTTGCCAAAAATTCCATCCCCTGCTATCTCAGAGGAGTTGACACTTGTACATCTGTATTCCTGTATATTCATCAGTAATTAAGTACAAGGATCAGCAAATGCAAATACTGCCCTGTAAAACAATGACAGTGCAATTGTTGCTTCATATGATCTGAAGCCCCATTTGGAGCTTTTAAACAGGATTTTGAAAAACATTGATAAATTGCTGCTGTAATATTATAGATTTTTTAGAATAAAAAGCTAGCAGATGTGCATAAACAAACAAACAAAAAAATACAATACAGTTCAGTAAAAATACAGTTCTGTTTTATGCCTCATTCTTGTAAGTTTAAAATCTTCTAATGCTCCTGAATGCACCATAGCTTTCTGACGCGCAGCGAACGCATCTCACTGGTCTGTGAACGCTGTGCTTTGTAGGTGCGCGTTTGATTTTCCACTTAAGAAAAAGCTTTGCAAACTCAAAACTCACTTCGGCTATCACGGTTTAGTGTTGTGTGTAAATAGCAAGAGACCACAACAAATAAATCAGCCGTACCATGGTCAAAATCTTTGGATTTAATGTTGTTCAAAAAATCCATACTTTTGTAAATTAATCTGCCAAATAACCACAACTTTTTTCCCACGAGAGGTATTTTTAAACGTTTTTATATCATTAATATAAGAACCTAAGCTCCATTGAACATATTTTAATCCGTTTTCCTCGTCGATATGCAGTTCAACAGAGCGAGGCGCGCTCCCGCGACTGGGGATGCATATTTCGGCAGGCATGCACTTTTGGGCATAACACCGGTGTTGCCTGGTCTTATGATTAATGCGCACATTATCACTGATAATAAACTAAAAAAACCTCAAAGATTAGGGAATGCTTTACTAGTACTTTGTTTCATTTTGTATCAAATCAACATTTTTTATTGCATTTCTTCTCAAAGACTGAACACTGCAAAAAACAATATAAAAATAAGTAAAACATTCTTAAATTAAATGTATTCAAACTTCATTTGAGGAAGTAAAAAAGATGATTTGCCAATGGAATAAATATTTTTTACTCTTAAAGAAATAAAAAGATCATATCCACCTGAAATAAGACAATGCAGTATTTATTATTTATTTTAAATGTAAATTGTCTCGTTTATTGGCAAAGCGTCTCACTTTCCTCCTCAATTCAAGATAAAAATGGCTTCTTTAGATTTCAATTTTTTGCAATGAAAGGTTCAAAATGAGAACAAATTATTCCTCCTACAGCTCCCACCAATGGGCCAGGCCGCCATATTGGATTGGGAGTTCGCGGTGGGAGGGAAGCACCTATCCCGCTGCAAGGGGCGTTATTTTCCCAGGTCTGAACAAGGAAATTCCTGCGTCCTCGTTAGAGAGGAATGCAGTTAGCGGGCAGGGAGGGGAGAGGAGTGGGCCCTCAGTGAGTCACCCTGAATGAACAAGCGCCGTGATGAATCCCGATCATCTCTGGCTGGGATCCATCCATCCAGCTCTGGGAACATCGGAGCGTTTAGCAGGAATCACAAACATGGTTTCTTACCGTTTGAACATCGCCTCCATGTCTTTAATCTGTTTGCGGGAGAACTCTTTAAACTCAGTGTAGGGGTTAAACACACGGGAGGACCGAGGAGGAGCGTGCCCGTCGTTGATGTCCAGTCTCCGGTTGAGTTTGGTGGCCAGCTCGGACGGCGTATCTCCACAGGCATGGTCCGGTTCGTGGGACTGGGCTGGTACCGGAATCTGTTCGGACTCGGGATTCTGTTCGGCCTCCTCTGCAGCTGCCAGCCGCGACTGCAGCTTCTTAGCGAGCTCGTCTGATGCCATGCTGAAGGTCCAACGTCTCTCAGGGAAACAGTCAATTAAAATGGAGTCACACAGTTCTGCCGGTTTTCAACTCCGGACCAAACCTACTTCCTGCAAGACTTCACAATAAGAGGCGCATGATGTCCAATAAATCATATCTTATTTGTTCAGATATCTCTCCTTGTCTCTCTATTTGACCAGGACATGTAACCCATCAGATCCCATGTTATGTTTATTACAATCAGACCGCAGGTGTTCTTCACAGGATTAACTCAAACTACTTTACCCAGAATGCACCGCTGCCTCAACTGTCATACCAATTCTCACTATTGTTGTGACACTAGAGGGCGCTATTAGGATCCACTCATGAACATACTGTCAAACTATTGATACTGCGTTGATAGCATTGATCTCTATTTGTTCACCGGATTGCTGATTGCTCGTTGGTAGTACGGGGTCCAAGTGAAGCCAACGGCCGCCATATTGGTACTCCCTAGTTAGACGGGTCTCAATGTAAACAATCTGTGCGCTACAGCATCGAAAACAACCATGTTGTTCTCATTTTCAGGGGGCCTGAAGACTTTAAAATAAAGATAAATTCATCACTTTGACACATATTTAGTGTTTCATACCATCAGTAGATTACTTATAATTCAAAACAGATAACTTATAATACAAAACAGGTACATCACATTGTGTCGTATTTAGAAAGTCTCTAAATCATGTAATATAACATATTATACAAGTCATCACAACAAAATTATTGTGTTAATATGGCGTAATAATAGAAATGTGCCAAAACTGCTAAACTGATTATTAAGTATATATATATATATATATATATATATATATATATATATATATATATATATATATATATATATATATATATATATATATATATATATATATATATACATATATATATATATATATATACTTAATAATACTTAATAAAGAATTACTACATTGACATTTCACAGTGAATTATTTTCTATTTACTCTACTTTCTATTTTCTTATGTTAAACACAATGTCAATGGCTAACTCAGTCAATGTCTTCCAGTCAGTACGAGATAGCCAGACTAATGTTACGCAACATACTATACTATAGGATATATATACCAATTCACAACACATGTCCGCTAAAGGCACTTGCAGTTCACCAGATCATCCAGTCAGATTGATTCACAGTTTTTTATCTAAGGAAGACCAGTTGATTCCATCGACTTATTGACTCGAAGGCAATCCCTCTCACTAAGCATGAATGTAGCGACAGGAAGAAACCTCCAGCAGAACCAGGCTCAGTGTAATCGGCCATTTGCCGAGACCAACTGGGGTTCAAGGAGACAGAAGCAGAGATACAAAAAGCAGCTGTAAAAGGCGCCGCCGTCAAGGAAACACACAGCCAGGCAGACGAGCTCCAAGCCAGAGGACTATCAGTCCATATATTATCGTATTGAACTGACTCTATATATAGTTTATTGAGGTTTAAATCAGTATGGCTTTTTTAAGGGTCCTAAGAAGAAACTTATTGTAAATAGGCAGTATAAAAGAATAAGACAAAAAAATTTCCCCTTCACTTTGATAGTCAATCTAAGTTTAAATCTAAATATGGTAGATATTTGCATTTTTGTGTCCTATGAGATAATAGATGATAATAATTGAAGTTTATTGATCTCACATTGGAAAAAATTTACCTCCACATTAAGCCATCCCCTTGGGGAGCAGTGGGCTGCCATTGTGAGGCACCCGGGGAGCAGTGAGGGGTTAAGGGTCTTTGCTCAGAGACCCAGAGTGGCAGTCTGTGGGATTGGGTTTCGAAATCACAACCTCAGGATTCCAAGCTCTATGCCCCAAGATATGTAGAAATGTAAAACAAACACATTTCAGAATTCATTGCACTAAAATTAAAGCTGTTGATGGTGTGAATCATGAAACATTATATTTCATATCTAAATAATATAACAGAGGAATTCATAAATCCATTGTGAGAATCACATCCTGGTACCATCCATCCATCTTCTAGCACGCTTATCCCAACCCGGGTGACAAGTGGTGCTGGTGCCTTTCTCCAGCTGTCAATGGGCGAGAGGTGGGGTACGCCCTGGACAGGTTGCCAGTCCACAGCAACACAGAGACAAACAACCATTCACACACACACTCATACCTAACGGGACTGTAAAGAAGCCAATTAACCTAACAGTGATGTTTTTGGACTGTGGGAGGAAGCCGGAGTACCGAGAATCGAACCCAGAACCTTCTTGCTGCAAGGCACTGCGCCACTGAGCAGCCACATTCTGGTACTGTCATCAGGTAATGTACATAACATGAGGCAGCTGTGTTTAGAATAAGGAACAGCGCCAGACAGGGAGACTTTATCTTTTTATTTTTTATGTGTAGGGAGGATCAGAAACAGGAATTTCCTCTTATCTGGTGCTTGTGTGTGCTGCTGTCAATTGCTCCCTGAGACACTGTTATATACATATATATATAACTGAAGATGTGGTGGATGGAATGGACAGTTACAGACAGTAGTGTTTAATGAAAGGGCTTGTGTGGGACCCCACACACACACACACACAGACACACACACACACAAATAACCTGAACCTGCATGATATTTGAGTCAATGAGTCGATGCAATCAACTGGTTTTCCTCAGATAGAAAATCAATCTGACTGGATGATCTGGTGAACTGGAAAGTGCCTTGAGATGACATAATGTGAATTGGCGCTATATAAATTAACTGAATAGAATTGAGCTGTTGAAGCCTATATTCGCCACTTGAAAACAAAATATGTCATAAATATGAGATTTAATTTTGACTTTCGAACTTATAACCATGAGCTCTAAAGTCATTGTTAAGATATACTTTGAATGTAGAAATTATGACTTTGTAGCGTATCTTTTTATTTTAAATCCCCTTATCATGATTTTAAATCTAATAATTATGACATTTGATGTACCATTAGGTGGCGGAAACGGGCTTCCTAAAAACGGACAAACAAACGAAATAACTTGTTATAATTATTTAATATTCAGCTATTAGATTCCTGCCTGATCGTTAACAGCCCGTTTCTTCAAACTGATTGATGGTTTTATTTGTATTTCAGTGATTGTTTGTGGAGAGCGTTCAGCGGTTATTTGGTTTGTACTGTTACTGTCAATAAAGATTTAAGATGAAAAAAAAAACAGTTTAGCAGAGCAACGCTTCCTGTTTGCCTCAGACAGCAACAAAAGCTCCCAGAACAAGGTCGCTCCCCCTGCAGCCGGGACCGACCGGACCGACCGGACCGCTAACCCCGACCTGACGCACCGAGCCAAACCGGTAAGTTCTGGTTTCACTGCGGACCTCTGCTTGGCTGGTAAATGTGTGAACCCGGCGGACCTGCTGGTTACTGGCTCACCAGTAGGACCGTTATTAGAACATTCCTTCACAGGCCGAGTCTACAGGGGCGAATATAGGATCAGAGGATAGAGGGGCTGAGCAGCGGGCACCAGGAGCTGTCTGTCCAGGCAGGAGGCCTTCACGGCCGTCTCATCGAATTTTGGGGCCCCAAGCAAAATTGACTTGATGGCCCATATTAAAAAACTGAACTGTGCTCTGTGAATAATATTAACATTTTGAATATTTAAATGTGTGTGTATATATATATATATATATATATATATATATATATATATATATATATATATATATACACTATATTGCCAAAAGTATTTGCTCACCTGCCTTGACTCACATATGAGCTTAAGTGACATCCCGTTCCTAATCCATAGGGTTCAATATGACGTTGGTCCACCCTTTGCAGCTAGAACAGCTTCAACTCTTCTGGGAAGGCTGTCCACAAGGTTTAGGAGTGTGTTTATGGGAATTTTTGACCATTCTTCCAGAAGCGCATTTGTGAGGTCGCACACTGATGTTGGACGAGAAGGCCTGGCTCTCAGTCTCCGCTCTAATTCATCCCAAAGGTGTTCTATCGGGTTGAGGTCAGGACTCTGTGCAGGCCAGTCAAGTTCATCCACACCAGACTCTGTCATCCATGTCTTTATGGACCTTGCTTTGTGCACTGGTGCACAGTCATGTTGGAAGAGGAAGGGGCCAGCTCCAAACTGTTCCCACAAAGTTGGGAGCATGGAATTGTCCAAAATGTCTTGGTATGCTGAAGCATTCAGAGTTCCTTTCACTGGAACTAAGGGGCCAAGCCCAGCTCCTGAAAAACAACCCCACACCATAATCCCCCCTCCACCAAACTTTACACTTGGCACAATGCAGTCAGACAAGTACCGTTCTCCTGGCAACCGCCAAACCCAGACCCGTCCATCAGATTGCCAGATGGAGAAGCGCGATTCGTCACTCCAGAGAACGCGTCTCCACTGCTCTAGAGTCCAGTGGCGGCGTGCTTTACACCACCGCATCCGACGCTTTGCATTGCACTTGGTGATGTATGGCTTGGATGCAGCTGCTCGACCATGGAAACCCATTCCATGAAGCTCTCTGCGCACTGTTCTTGAGCTAATCTGAAGGCCACATGAAGTTTGGAGGTCTGTAGTGATTGACTCTGCAGAAAGTTGGCGACCTCTTCGCACTATGCGCGTCAGCATCCGCTGACCCCGCTCCGTCAGTTTACGTGGCCTACCACTTCGTGGCTGAGTTGCTGTCGTTCCCAAACACTTCCATTTTCTTATAATACAGCTGACAGTTGACTGTGGAATATTTAGGAGCGAGGAAATTTCACGACTGGATTTGTTGCACAGGTGGCATCCTATCACAGTTCCACGCTGGAATTCACTGAGCTCCTGAGAGCGACCCATTCTTTCACAAATGTTTGTAAAAACAGTCTGCATGCCTAGGTGCTTGAATTTATACACCTGTGGCCATGGAAGTGATTGGAACACCTGATTCCAATAATTTGGATGGGTGAGCAAATACTTTTGGCAATATAGTGTATATATGGCCCCAAAAAAAAAAAAAAGTCGCCACTTGGATTCAACTAAGCAAATTAGAGATGTCCCGATCCAGGTTTTCGCACTTCCGATCCGATACCGATATTGTTTTTGGACTTCCGATCCGATACCGATACTGGCCGATACCAGCCTATCCGAGCATGTATTTAAGTTTAAGTTAAAGTATTTAGCCTTAGTTGTA